TTTTTAACAATAAAGAAGCTGGTGTTTTATAAGCTGTTAGATGCGGATGACTTGAAAATCAATAAATGTGTTAAATATTGGCAAGGTGTTAACATGAAAAATAAAAAGTATTATCAAGAAATAATACTTTCAATTCAAGAAATTAGTCTAACCCTAAAACACATTTCAATCTATTAACAATAGGAGTAAGCAAATAGTTGGTAGTGTCTGCAATATTTTTAATTACAAGGACTATACAAAATCCTACTCCCTGAACAAACTGATCAAATGGCAGAGATGATAAACACGACACTCTAACCAAATCAAACTCCAGACTACTGGGGTTCCAGTCCCTTGGCTCATGGCACCACACAGCTGCAAAGTGAGCAGGTTCAGCAAACTGATTCAGCTAAAAACTAATCCACAGAGTGAGTCGGAATGAACTCTGCATTTGTCTGATGTTTTCTGTCTTGCCTCATGTCTCTCCATATCCTCCCCCGTCCTATACACGTGTCCTACCAACAAACACCAGTCAACTCCCTCCACTCAATCCAATCCTACGGGCAGTAGGTAATGGGTTTGATTTGGGCCACTTCAGAATTCCCAGCTTTGCTGGAAACCTGCATCTGCCAGTATTGGCTCCACAGACACCTTATGAGATTTTATGTCAAATTCAAGTAAAAAACATCAGTTACCCCACTGATGATTCCCTGAACAGCCCAGCCAGATTCTGCTCACTGCAGTCCTGTGCACATGAAGTGAGCATGTTCCATCTCTAGTCTTCTGCTTGTATAATAAGGAATTATCTCAGGAGATTATTAGTAGCAAAGGAAACATTAAAGGAAGGATCTCTGCACAGCATTTGTAGGAGACTCTCTATATACGACTTGTTCATTTAGTAAAAGGCACTAAAACAAATGGTGTGATTTATGAATAGTGAGTATTTGTATATTGTAAAATAAATTCTGAGCACAAATACTAATGTGCAATAGTCCTAGTATGATTTTAAGATACATCACAACTCCAAGAGTTTGTTCTGCTGTGCTACAAATTAGCACCATTCCTTATCAATGTATCCAGAAGTGTCATCCTATTCCCTTGTGAGATATTTTGGGGGGTAAACAGAATCACTCACTTTTGCTAAAGTCATCTCCAGGGTGCAGCTTTCTGATGAAAGCTGTTTCTGAAAGGTTCATTTCTGTTGCGATTTTTTGGTGCAAAGCTTCATCCAACTCCTAATGATGAAACAACAAATCCAATTAAAAGCAGAACAAAAAATGCAGAATCAAACTTTTTGTCATATACAATAATTTCATTTGATATTATTGTAAAACACAGACTCAGTTTTAGTTCAATATACTGAAAGTAAAAAAACATTTTAACACAGTCTTTCCAGAAACACAAATACCTTTTTCTAAGTTGTAATTAAAGTCACACTGAGAAGTCATTATTAACATCATCTAAAATTAATTAAAACTTTCTTTTTAAAATTCTGAAATATCCCTGCCAGCATGAGCTCTGCAGTGATGGAACGCCCCAGGGGGCTGATCAGCCCTAAGGGCCCTGCTCTCCCTACCACTCCTTAAACAGGAACAATACACTGAGTCAGGGGGGC